TGGCGAAGAATGCTGAAGGTACCATGGACTGCTAAAAGAACTAATAGATCTGTCCTGGAGGAAGTGCAGCTGAGATGCTCCTTGGACGCGAGGATGGCCAGACTTTGTCTCACCTACTTTGGTCATGTTGTCAGAGGGGACCATTCCCTAGAGAAGGATGTCATGCTTGGTAAGGTGGAGGGTCGTCGAAAGAGGGGAAGGCCTTCGACAAGATGGATTGACATGGTGGCTGCGACAATGGGCTCAAGTATAGAAAGGATCATGGAGCTGGTGCGGGAACGGGCAATGTTTCGTTCTGCTGTGCATGGGGTTGCTATGAGTCAGAATCGACCCGACAGCACCTAACAACAACAACAATAGTGGTATCTCACATTTGTCCTTTGGTAAGTGACTTATTTCACTGAGAATAATGTTCTCCAGATTGATCTATGTTGTTTTGCGGTCTCATTATTCCTTCTTTTTGCATAGTAATACATTTTATGTATACACCACAATTTGGTTATCCATTCATCTGTTGATGAGCACTTAAGTTGTTTCCATCTTTTTGCTCTTGTGAATAATGCTGTCATGAACATACATACACATTAGTCCATTTAGGGGCACTCTTTTGAGAAATGCTTCCTCATCTACACCCTTGATAACAGAGTATATTATACAGAAAAGCAATAGTGTCAGCAACTAAATGGGAAACTCTTGAGCATGGAGAAATGTTAGGAATACCTTAACCAATTTATTTTGCCTATAGTTTCTTTGTTATGCATGCACAAAGTTGACAATATGAATAAAATGTTTTTGAAAGCCTAAAAGTTCTTTCAATAATTAGAACTTCTAAATGATAAAGCATTCTAAGATAGCTTGACAGCCTTTCCTTTTCTCTCGTGCTGCATAAATAATGGTGCCTCTAACAATCAAGGGGAGCTCTGGTAGCGTAGTGCCTAAGGCACTTGACTACTAACCAGAAGGTTAGCGGTTTAAATCCACCAGCCATTCCTCGGAAGGAAGGTTGGGCAATCTACTTCTGTAGTGATACTGCCTCGGAAACCCAAGGAGGGGTCGCTATGAGTTGAGTCCTAATGGACGGCACAGAACAACAACAACTAACAATCAAGGGTATCTTAAATTCGATGGTACAGGAACGTCTAATAGAAATGCCAGAGGGAGAGAATAGAATGGGAAAAGGCAATGTTTGAAGCTGTTACCTATGACAGTATTTTAGACTTCATGACAGCAGCAGATCTTGATTTAGGAAGTACAAAATATCCTGAATGAAATAAATAAAACCATACCTAGATACGTGGTCGAAAAACTTAACACTGCTATAGACCAGGATAAAGTCTTAAAAGCAAGTAAAGAGAAACGTCATAAGCAAAGCAACAACAAAAACAAACCAG